GACCTGGGCGGCGGCGACGGCCTCCTCGCCGGGAACGAGAAGATCACGATGCAGAACCTCAACGACCGCCTGGCCGCCTACCTGGACAAGGTGCGCGCGCTGGAGGAGGCCAACTCCGACCTGGAGGTGAAGATCCGCGAGTGGTACCAGAAACAGGCGCCCACCAGCCCCGACCGCGACTACAGCCCCTACTACAGGACCATCGAGGAGCTGCGCGACAAGGTACGGCCAAACTGCACATCCCAAACCCAGCCACAGAGCTGCACATTACAAATTGCTTCCCCAAACCCAAGTATGTTCTAGTTAGAGCCTTCCAGGAGAAACTAGGTTTTGTTTTTCTTAATTTAAGCAGCAAATGTGTCATCCTGCAAAGGTGAAGTTTGCTGAAACTAAAATGATTGTACTAGCAAAGCATGGTAAGTGGGTTGAGAATTAGCAATAGATTTAGAGTGAAACATTAAAAGATCTCATAGTGGATCTCATAGCCTGGAAAAATAATTCCCCAGGGCAAAGATAAGATCAGGTATTGTGCAAGTCTCTTTTACAGTTATGTTAAATGTGTAAATCTTATCTTCTCACTAATCCACTGAGTACTTTTGAACTTGTAAGGAAAGAAGATATAAAGGTTACAAGGAGAACCAGCAAGGACGAGGTATTTCGTGTCCCACAGCCAAACCTGCCTTTCTGGGCTCCAGTAACACTGTCCCACATACCTGGTTTGCATCTGCAGTGTGGCAAGGAGTTCAGCTTTCTTGGTGTCCCCATATAAAAGCCATAATAAAATTGCTATTGCAATGCACAAAGCATGTTGAGCTAATGAAATCTCTGCTGCCTTGTTGAACGGCTTCCAGCAGCCCCAGCGAGGGGTCGGGAACGGGGGTGTTTCCCGTTACTCACAGGGATCTCGTCTGTCTCCGCCAGATCCTTGCAGCGACCATCGACAACTCCCGGATCATCCTGGAGATCGACAACGCCAGGCTGGCCGCGGACGACTTCCGCCTGAAGTGAGTGCAGCGCAGCGCCCTTCCGAGCTCCCTCCTTCTGTCTGCTGAAATTTCATGTTCCTTCCTGCCTAGGAAAAATGTTTGTCACTGAAGAACATATCTCAAAACCACAGGCAGACATTTTGCTTCTATAGCTTGTATGTTAAGAAAGGAAAGACAGAGCGACTCGCTAGCCAGGCTGGGGACACAGAGAGCCACCCATGAGGTCCTGCTGTGAGGGGGACAAGGTCCTGGCACCGCTCTCCTCTTCCAGCACCGTCCCTGCACGTTGGGTTTTCTCCTCTTGCCACCAGCTCCTGTGGGTTCCAACGTTTGTTTCTTTTTAAAACTGCAGGTATGAGAACGAGCTGTTCCTTCGCCAGAGCGTTGAGTCCGACATCAACGGCCTGCGCAGGGTCCTGGACGAGCTGACCCTGGCCAGGGCTGACCTGGAGATGCAGATCGAGACCCTCAAGGAGGAGCTGGCCTACCTCAAGAAGAACCACGAGGAGGTGAGAGCTCTGGCAACGCAGAGAGAAAACTCCTTCCATTTAGCACTTAATCCTTCCAGCTGGGGGGAAAACCAAACCACAGTGACAGTTTTACAGCTAAATGATTAAGAAGAAAACCACGATCTCACAAGAATCCACACTCTGCCCTATAAAGCACTTCTCCAATTCCAAACTATCCAGAACTGTGAGTTTTCAGTTTTACCAGCATAAGCCTGTGCCACTGAGATAATCAGCTGCAAAATCCTTGGCAAAGGAACATACCTGGATATACACGTGTGTGTGGAGACAGAGAGGAAAAGTCTTTGTGATGAGGGAGAGGGATTGGCAAATGTTTCCAAGTGTGTCTCACCTCCAGGACTTGATAACTAGGGCACCACGTAGCTCCGTGGGGCTTCCCGCTGGCAGGAGCTAGATGAGGATATGGAATATGGAGAATAATCTTTTCTGTGTCCTCTGCCTTCTGCCCATGCAGGAAATGAAGGAGTACAAGAACCAGCTGAGCGGAACGGTCAACGTGGAGATGGACGCGGCTCCCGGCATCGACCTGACGCGGGTGCTCTCGGAGATGCGGGAGCAGTACGAGGCGCTGGCCGAGAAGAACCGCAAGGACGCCGAGGCCTGGTTCTTCACGCAGGTGCGTCCCTAAGCTCCAACGTCTCCTCACAAACACCGTGAAGAGGCTTTTCAGTAGCAGCATCGCAAGCCTCATTCCAGAAGCGCTCAGCAACGGCGCTTGCTTCCTCCCAAACCAAAACAGGGAAGTCAGAAGGATAACACACAAAAAGCTGAAGGGTAGCAAAAGAAGCAGTAATTTGGGGAAGATGGGATGGGCCTTCCCTTTCTCCGAGTATGTATTTTTTAATTTTGAGACAATCTGTTTTCACTGTATGTTTTTCTTTCAGACCGACGAGCTGAACCGGGAGGTGGCCACACACACGCAGCAGATCCAGACAGGCAAATCGGAGATCACGGAGCTGCGACGCACGTTCCAGGGCCTGGAGATCGAGCTGCAGTCCCAGCTCAGCATGGTACGGAGCCGGCACAGCGCCTACAGCCCGCACGCTCTCCCCTCCTTCCTTCCTGCCTTCCCCTTCCTTTAACTCTCTCTCTATGGGAAGAGATAGAGCTGCAGTCCCAGCTCAGCATGGTACGGAGCCGGCACAGCGCCTACAGCCCGCACGCTCTCCCCTCCTTCCTTCCTGCCTTCCCTTCCCTTTAACTCTCTCTCTATGGGAAAAATCCCGCGCAATAACCTAGTTTAACACTGCTCTGCTGCAGAAAGCCGGCCTGGAAGCCAACCTGCGAGACACAGAAGCCCGGTACTGCGCCCAGCTAGCCCAAATCCAGGCGCTCATCACCAGCGTGGAGGAGCAGCTGGCCGAGCTGCGCTGCGACATGGAGCGCCAGAACCAGGAGTACCGGATGCTCATGGACATCAAGAGCCGCCTGGAGCAGGAGATCGCCACGTACCGCCAGCTCCTCGAGGGCCAGGACTCGCAGTACGTTGTCACACACGAACGCCGGGCACATTAGATAACGTTAATGACACGACATACCGTAAAGCGGTAATTTGTGGTTGTTAAACTGACTGCAGATTGGGAAATTTCACTAATTGCACTGGCAGAACAGAGGCCTGGAGCCCTGTAAACCCCAAGAGCAGCTTTTACTCAAGTTAAACCTCCAGACCAGGAGGAAAAAGGTCCATGTAGATGTATCAAGAGCAAGGGCTGGTCTGGGTGATGTTCCTGCTTCCCCAGGACGGCCACCTGGAGAGGTGGAGTCGTTAATGAAACATCTTCTTGTTTTCTGCAGGTTGCCAGGATGGACCCCTAAGGACGGTAAGAAACTTTGCATGTAAAGAGGGGCCTGAATGAATTGGCAAAACAGAATTAAAGGAGCCTATGGCGGTGTTGGCTGGGATTTGGTCTCGCAGATATTGATCACAGTCTCTCCGCTAGGACCACATCCTTCACCATTTAGAGATGAACATACAATATTTTATATTATAAAATATTGAAGCCGGTAGCTTGCCAAAATGTTTACATGAACTCCTAATATAGTTCTAAAATATGGAAATCCATAAATCCAAATCACAGAGATTCCTGAATTCACTGCTATATTGCTATATTGTCATATAACATAAACACAATACCTCCAAATTTAACATGAGACTTTCATGAGGAAACTGCACACTCCTCCTTTTTATTATTTATTCTCCCATTTCAGGAGGCCCTTTGATATGTAGAAAGAAACCAACCAGCCAGCCAAGGCCCCGCAGCTCTGCAGGGTGTCACCAGCGCATTTTTTCTTCCCCTGCTTGAATGATCCTTTTTTTTCTCCTTCCGCAGCACATCTGAGCAGCGGAAGAGTTCGCATCAGCGTGGAAGACTCGGTAGATGGAAAAGTTGTTTCTACTCGTGACAAGAAATACCCGTAAAAAGCAATACTGAAGGCCCTCTCGTACCCGAGATCATCTGCACTGTGACGGTCACCAGAACAGGGCACTCGAGAGGGGATTCAGCAAACAGCTTCTAATAAAGTGGCACGGAAACCATTCTGTCTACACACTGGCTAATGCTAACAGAAATATCCTTTTGCTTTCACCAAAGCACAGGAATTTAACCCAATAATGTGCAGCAACTTGGTGTCTTCCCTTAAATTTGCTCTTTCTTTTACACGATTCTGTGGCTCTAGGGCTTGGAGCTGGGGAGCCTTTTCCACCAGCAGCTTTGTAGTGCTCTTGTGAAACACCATAATAAAGTTTCTCTCCTGCTTGTGCAAGGTCATTGGTTTCTGCGTTGTTTTTTCCCAGTTGCACACGCTCAACAGGACACACCGTTACTGCAGCTTTTGCATTAGTAGCACTGCTGTTTTCTCAGCAATAAGCTAGTTTGCAAACCAACAGCGCTGCAACTGGAGAGAGGAGCTTATAAAGCTTGGAGACCAGTAATCCCAACTTCAGAAGCACATAAAACATTCATATAAATGTTGTATTTTGCTAACATAACCTTTTCGGGGAGCCTGTTGTTAGTCCTCACCCTGCACTACTGCAATCCGCAGAATGGGATGTAAAAAATGGTACGTTCCCAGGAATTTCCTTTTCCTCCCAGCCCCTTTGAACCAGGTCATCCTCTTTTACGTCCTTATTCTCACGACATCCTCTGGCCTAGGAAGTTGCTAAGGGTCCCGCCACGTCTCTGCTCCCTCGTCCTTTCTCACTTTCCATACGAGCAGGGTGCAGGTGACCATGAGCAGCCACAAACCAACTGCCCTGACACACAGCCGGGACCAAACTTACTTTTAAGGCATGATAAAATGTCCCTTTGATGGCACAATACAAGTATTGGAGTGGCAAAGAGAGGCCTGGGGAGTCCTAACTTATTTCAGCTTTTTATGGGGAGATTGATTGTTTATAAACAACTAAATGACGGACAATGGGATTGACAGGATTGTTTAGAAAACTGGTATAAACCTTCCCAATTGAAGTGGTTTCTACAGTCTGCCACCGCGCAGAGCGCAGGATGTAAAATACTCAACTGAGGAACGAGCCCTCTGGGCTTCAATAACTTGAGCTCTCCAACTAATCCGAGCTCTGCTCACCTTGGCCACTAACACCCTGACTTCCACTTTATTCCAACTGCCTCTTCAGGGCGTGCAAAGGGATCCTGTGGTGCAGGTAGTGGTTTCACTAGGATTTCTTCAGTGTGCTCCAGGGGTTCTTCCAGGATTCCAGGTCTCCCACACGGCATGATGGAAGTTTCAGGCCCCTCTGCTGAACTGGGATCTTCTGGCATCCATCCACACTCACCTGGTTCCTGCTACGGCCCGGGCTTTGCCGGCCGGCGCGACGGAGGGATCGGCAGCGGCAGCGCAAGGGAAGCGACGCAGCTCTCGGGCGAGCGCCCGGCCTGTCGCCTGCAGCAGGAGCATCTCCCGGAGCGGGAGAACGCTGGCCCGGAGCGCGGCATCGGGGACTGAAAGGTGGCGTTTTTTAAGCTGTTTTTCAGCATTGCATCTTATTTCCAGATTTTATGCGCCAAGAGGAGCCATGTGAAGCTCATGCTGCAGCTGGACAAGGCCAGGTTGGCGGCTGATGACTCCAGAACCAAGAGAGCCCAGAACCAAGCGAGTGGACCTCAGAGCTTGGCCAACTGCCTCTGTCTTCATGCGCTTCAAAAGCCTCTAACGTCTGCATTTCCTCTGAGGGTCTATCCGATCTATAGAGGATCACGTGTCATTTGACAAAACTGACTTAAGAGCTCAAAGGAGCAAATCCAAGTTGTTTTAGGTGTGTTGTGCACAGGGGACGCAATGGCCGTTTTCAGAAGGACAGCACTAAGCAGCACCCAGCTTCTCTGAACATTTCTAATGAAAAAAAGAAAGAGAAAAAATATTTTAAAACCAAAAGGCGTTAGCACAAATCTGTGGTGTTAAAAAGAGGCTCGACTGCAGCCTTTTGTGCGTTGCCAGCTCTGTCCCAGTGCTTTGCATTTGTTTGCATCACATATGAAGGTTGGAGGGCGAACAAGGTCTTCTCCAGGCTTGGGGGGCTGATGCCAGCGGCCTCCAGGGCTCTGGATGAGCCGACGTTGTGCAGAGCGACCTGGAGAAGCAGCTGCAAGCCCTGATGGAAGAGCTGTTTTGCCTCAAAAAGAACCACGAAGAGATAAAATATAAATAAATAAATATGTAGCCTAAAGGCAGCAAATATAAACTAATTAGAGACTAACCAGCATCACAGAATAGCACATGAGGGCAGGCAGGACTGAATATATTAGATAGAAGGCAATGAAAAGAACTCTAATCCATAAGAGCAATGTGCAAGATAGCCACGGAGTTAGCAAAAAGACATGCAGCATGATTGCTTGCTTATTCTCCCATGATAATTAAATCTGCAGTCACCTTTTAATGCATATTTT